GCCTGGGCGCCGAGGGGGGGCGGTCCGAGCGCGGGACAGCCGGACACGCACCGTGACACACTGACACACTGACTGGGGCCCACGCGCGCACCCAGAGAACTGTGCAGACTGACCCACTGGCGCTCCGGGGACATGGAGTCACGTGCTGCCGGGGCCCACGGGGACCAGGCGACAAACTGACACAAGGCCACGGCGGCACAGATGCACACTCTGGACAGGGATGTGGACACGCCAACTCACACGGATGGGACACGCACATGCCCCCAGACCCGATACAAGATACAAGCACATAGACCGACTTGTTTACTGGGTCACGGGTGGCACAGACTGACTGACACAATGACAGACACACAGGCACACACTCGAGTCACACCCCCCCACTGATGAGCACACGTGAACCCACAAGCTGACCATGTTCAGCATGTGCACCCACACCACACTCCCAGGGACAGGCACCCACAGGTCGCGGCTGAAGGCGTCTTAGAAAATACAAACTGCATGAGAGCAGACACACACACACCTGTCACAGGGCCATCTGGACCCACTGCTTGCTCTAGAGGCACTTCCAGAGGGACCCACAAGCACACCAGGGCCAGCCACGGCTGATGCCTTCAAAAGGTCCAGGACTGACTTCACAGACAAAGATCACATCAGATACAATGAAACTAAACCCACACACACAGTCACAAAGCCACACCTGTGACAGGTTCCAATTAACTGGCTCACTGTCGGACAACCCTCCGAGCATCCACAGCTGACCACAGGCGCCTCCAATCTGCTGGGGGACCCGGGGCGAGGAGGAACCCCCAGCACCTGGCAGGGACTTGCCCGGGCAGCCCCCGCACAGACTCTCACCCTGGCCCCTGGCTTTCTGTTCCTTTTCCCTTCTGAGCATTATCACTCTCCTCCCCTACAGGGTGACCCGGGGGTTCTGCCCTCCCTCCTGCACTTGTGGCTGTGTCCTGCACCTTCCTGTCACACCCCACCACACCCTGCCACCTGAGTGCTGAGAAAGCAGTCAGGGCAGAGACCAGGGAAAGCAAACTCTGCTCCCTCAGGGCTGATCTTTGTGGACCTCCTCTGGAAGCTTCCTCCTTTGAAATACTGGGGACTAATCCAGCCTGCTTGGTTCCTTTCACTCAGTTGTTCATCCATTCATTTCCAGTCTTTCAAAGGATTTTTAAACTGTGGATCGCGAGCAAACCATTGGCTTTGAAATCACTTTCATGGGTCTTTTTTTTTTATTCAAGTTTATTGAGGTGTATTTACATTTGATACAGTTCACTATAGGGCTGCTCTGGTGGTGCAGAAGCTCTCAGGTTACCCAGCCACTGCAGTGTGAGTTCAATCCCTGGCCAAGGAGCTGACCCACATGACACAGCAGACCTCTCCTGTCTCCCTTCTGTTCCCCTCACCCTAATAACTTCCCTCAGGTTCCTTTATTGTCCATTGCAACTTGAGTGGCTGTTGACCAGACTTAAAAAGGAGAGAGAGAGCATCATTTTATTCATTTAAAAATATTTATTATATATTTTTATGCATACAACAGCAGGGGTGTAGGCCAGAGGTGAGAGAAATGAGAGGATTCACTGGAGTAGAATAGGCAGATCTACTTAAATGCACTGTTGAGGGGAGCAGTGGGGAGACAGGAGAGGTCTGCTGTGCCCATGGGTCACTCCCTGGTTGGGGATTGAACATGTGCTACAGGGGCTGCTGAGAGCTTCACAGTGCTGAGACTTAACCCCTTGCGTCACCAGGGAGGCCAAAGAGCATCATTTAAAAAAAAAAATAATGAAGTCCATAGGAAATGCTGTTTGGGAAAATTTTGTTTATATATAGTGAGTGCATACCAAGTCACAAAGTGTATTTGAATCAAATCTTCTAATAGTATGTTGTATGTAAATTATACCTCCATTTTGAAAATGTGTGTTTCTGATTGTTAACCGAGTTTAAAGATGCTTGAGAAATGCTGTTTTACATATTTATTGAAGGTGATCATGCATGGAAGTCATTGAGTGCCGTGTTTGGGATGTAGTAAGTGCCTAATAAATGTTGGCTGTTATCACTCGGAAAACTCATTATTGTCAGCGTTTGCTCTATGTTGACAGTGATGAAGTTGGAGCAGAGATCATGGTCTAGTCTGTGCCCCTTAAATCACTGATAGGGACCTCAAGTTACCCCATGTAGGACTGGACACCAAAGGCCAGCTGTGCTGGAATGTTCTAAGAAGAAAATGAGCGCAAAGGTCAGTAGGAATTTGGCTTCCTGTGCAGTGGTGGGGGAGGGTTAATAGTCTACCAGGTCATAAACATTGTCACCAGTCAGATCCTTCCCTCTGCCTAGTTGAGATCTAGCAACCTAGATCTGGAGTCTCAAACTCAAGAGCCATTATTAAATAAATAAGAAAAATTAATCCACTGCAAGATAATAGGGAGAGGTGCAGATTGTGGCTAATGGAAAGTTTGTTTCTTCTAGAGGCAAGTTCAAAATTAAAATCTTTGTGGGCAAAGAAAGTGAAAGTTTGTAACTTGGCTAGGAGAGAGCCTTTTTGAGACCTATCCTAGGGGCATATGGAGGAGGCCCCACCTCCATCTTCCAGATTACATGCTATCCCCCACTCCCTACCATAGGTTTACTGAAGGGTCAAGGATCAAGGATCAAGGGGTGCCCTCTCCTAAATTCCTGGAACAGCATTGTGGGGCATCCCTCTAATCCCTCCAAACCTACCTCTGGCCCCTGCTTCCTGAAGGGGGAGAGGCTCTGAAACTTTGAAGGGTCAATGTTCCTCTGATAGAGGGTGACAAGAGAGGTCAACAGATATGCAGAAAAACTGGGAGACTCATATCAAGGAAGTGGAGGGGATCTAAGAGAGACTAAGGGAGAGACCAGACAGAGAGCAAATGAGCACTGTTGGTGGGGTGATTGAGAGGAAGGGTTAGGCTTGGTTTAGAGGGCTTTCCAATCTCTGCTCTGAGGGGGCCAAACCATCCCTTGTTTTGGGATGGGGCTGTCTTGTGCTTCGTGGATTAATTAGCAGCGTCTTCCAGCATAACCCACTAGGTATAATAGCATCCCCTCTCGTGTGACAACCAAAGTCATCTCCAAACACTGCCACAGGTACTATGGGGAGGCAAAAGCATTCTCTCCTCCCCTTTTAAAAATGTTATTTATTTATGTATACAGAACTGGATACAGGCCAGAGGTACAGGAGCGGTTAGAGGACCCACCAGAGACAGAGTGGGGAGCAGAAAAGGCAAGTTGATAAAGCACACTGCTGAGGGAAACAGAGGGCGAGATAAGAGAGGTCTGCTGCGCCCTGTGGGTCACCCCCTGGCCAGGAGTGAACTCTTGTTGAAGCTGCTGGGCCTAGCTTCAGAATGCTGTGCTTTAACCTGTTCTGCCACTGGGGAGGGGGCCCTCCCTTCTCCTTTTAAGAACCACTGGCTAAGTGAAATCAGTCAGTGCCCCCACAGCAGTGGCTGATCCTCCCAAATTCTGCATGCTCCCCCAAAGAACATGGACTCTGGGTCTGGACGAGCTGAGACAGAACCCCCAGCTTGACCACCTGGCTGTGTGGCCCTAGGCACGTGCCTCAATTTTCTCATCTGTGAATTGGGACTGCAAAGGTTGCCACTTCATAAGATTTAGCAATAAGAAGGTCCATAAAACCAAAACATGGGGCCTAGGAGGTGATCACGATCACCACTTGGGTCACCCCATTGACTCAAAATCCAAAGAAGGACATACAGGTGGACACTCTCAGGGTCTCAAATCCCAGCTGTGAGTCCAGCCACTAAAATGTTTTGCTTGACCTGCAGTTTGTCATTTTGAACATGAAAATCTCTCAAATGGAAATTGGCAGTGAAATGATAAAGCAGCACACCCGGGAAGAGCATGTGTGATGTGGTGTATGTGTGTGTGTGTGTGTGTGTGTATAGGGATGACCTTGCCCAAGTAGCTTCCTCTCTCTGTGCCTCAGTTTCCTCATTGGTGCAAAGGAGATCACCCTAGGACCCAGTATATGGAGAGTGAACATTCTATGGGTGAACATTGAGGCGCACTTAGAACAGTGCCGAGGAAAGAGGCTCCCTGTGAAGTGCTGGGGAGGGAAAAGAAACGACCCACCCAGCTACTTTCCTGCCGACCCACACTGTCCCCATATCCTTCTGCCATTCTGGGGAAGTCGACTTCTCGGCCGGAGACAGGGAGTTGGGAAGGACTTAACTTTTCACTGCAGGGCCTGAGTCCTGGATTTCCGCGGTGGGGTGGGGGCCTCCTGGGCCCCCTCGGTGCTGTGGGCCTTCCAGGCCGGGTGGCTGGACCGGAGCCGGGTGGGGGCTGGGCGGGGGCGCCGGCGTCCGCAGGGTCCGAGCGGCCGGCGCGTGTGAAGGTTACCGCTCCCCGGCGGGGCGGGGGCCGCGCGCTGTTGCTGGGGTCTGTGGGGCCTGCCTGCGCCCGCGCCCTCCCTCCTTCCCGGCCAGCCAGTGAGCGGTACCCGCCGCCGTTGCCAGGGGAAACTCGCCGCCCCGTTACCCAGCAACAAGCCTGGCCCAACCAGGCGCGAGGACCCCCAGGCCCCGCCCGCCGCTGCCCACCGCGTGCCCAATGCCAGGCGGGCAGAGCCGG